TTTTGATATAGATTTCATGGATTCATAATTCTTGATGAATTTTCAAATAATATTAATTTCAATGATATTTGATAATCTCGGATAAAATAAGAAGGATACGTTTTATTATAAACATATGAAATTGACAATTAAATCAGAATATTACGTGATAAAGTAAAAGAAGCGGAATCGAGAAGAAAATCGAGGAAACGGTATAAGATGTAGAAAACAGTTTTACGCATGAATGTAGAGAAGAACAGAACGACGGATGACGAGTGCAAGAAAACTCTTGAGTTACAATACAGCCACGTCACATCGTATCCGTAGACGTTGGTTCGTGCTTCCCCTTCATGGTTTCGCGACTCTTCAACCCTTTTGCACAGCCTCTTGTTACACGGTTACCCTGCCCTTCCCTCTTTAAGGCTTCGTTTAGGATGGGGTTACCGGTCGTTACGGCCAGTTTGGAGGGTACTCTTTCCACGCGTACGACAGGAAACACGGACCCGTGTACTTTAAGTAGGCGCATCAAAAGAAGAAAAGCCTTTTTTCGCTCTTGTTCTTTGCTTCCTAACTTGGTCTCTTTCTTTGGCTCCTGCTCTATTCCCTCCCCGTTATCCTCTCTTTTGTCGAGATTAAAAATCGTCGCTAATAAACTAAGCGAATGCTTGTTTCGACCGTTACCGTTTCGAAGAGATTTCGACCGGTCGAATGCAAAAGCTGCTCAACTGTATGGACGAAGAAGGGTTATGAATACGAAAAATAGTTGGTCAGAATCGTTCGAAAAGTTGGCAACAAGGCGTTCGAACGAAAGATGAATTAATTTTAGTATACAGGGTAATGGAGATCGAATCTTTGCAGATGTGAAATGTCAAGATAGGTATATAAGTATGTCGTTAGGAAAATGAGAAACAATGTTCTCTGAAGCATGTTGTACCGGTAACTAGTTGAAGCGTACAAAAAGGATCTTTGGTTAACAGGCAGACAAAAGAAGAGAGGGATGAGAGATGTCAGGGGTAGAGATGAACGGATAAACAGACAACGTAGAGCATGGGATGGACGAGCAAATGGCAAATGGACGACGAACACAAAACGCAAGAGACGCGATATGTAAAGCGATACGAAGACTAGCACATATTTTACGTATATACGTGTACATATTTTCGAGAAGATCGCAACGTACGATCATCACCGGTTTCAAATCCGCGAACGTTTTATTTTGTTTAAAAGCACCAGTCCATTTGAGAATTTCTTGAGAGTATTTCTCGTAATTTGTCGCACATTTTGAATATTACAAGTAACAATTATCTTCAGATAATCACTTTCAATACAGCATTCATTAGAAATAATTCTCAAAAATAATTTTACTCCTAAATGAACTTATATCCTAAAAGAATTTCGAGAATCGATATTATTGATTGTATGCGATCTGAAAAAAATTGAAGAAAATTGAAAATATTACTGTAAAATTGACAACATTATTATCAATATTATTTACATATATGGGCCTTATAATTTAATCTTTGGATAATCATTGCCATCCTTAATTTTTTCAAACTTCCAAATGGAATACTTTTCTATTTAAGAATTTAAGAATCTGATCAAAATGTTAAAAAACAAGAAAAAAACATAGACGAGAATAAATGTATAATTAATGAAAAGTGTGTATAAAATAGTTGAACATATTGATGTTTGCGCTCTGTCATTATTTGATGGTTGTCTCGCGATACGAATGCATGGGTGAATCAAGCGGCGCATTGCGACAGTTTGTCGAGAACTAGCTGACAGATGTATATATGTAAATTTTCCAGAAATAATAGTCATAGATATATCTTTCTTTTCTTCTGTTCTTTCTGTTTTCTCCTTTGTTTTATGTATTGTACATTGCAAGTATCCGGAAACTTGGAATCGATCTTGTAATAGTAAGTAAAGTGTACAAATTAACGATAAATTAATAAAGCAATATCTCTTGGTAAGTATCTTTTAATAAAACTAGATATTGATTTGTACTATTTATTAATAATAAAATAAAAGAAAAAATATGACTAGAGTAAAAAGTATTATTCTCTTAAAAGATATTGAAAAATAATATCTAAAACTTTGATATATATCGATACTGGCGTTGAGATTGATAAACTCGATATCTTGAATTCGGCCCCTAACAATAATTAGTCGCAGTGTCAGCGAAATTGAGCTAAGGTGTTGGTTATAGGCGCTGCTTTTGCGATAACTCGACGGCAAACGCGCGTCGGTATACACGGAAAAGGATCAATGAGCAGGTTCAATAACCTGAAATCCACTTGACGTCCGACTACCTATTGGTACGAACGACTGCGTCGTTTCAACAACCAAAATAGATATTCATTTTCCAAGAGTGCTATTTTCCCAGCCAGACACAAATCCAATACCTGGTGATTTAAGTGGTTTTGCTCGGGTCAAAGACCCGATGACAGAAACATGCTTGGATTACTCCGGCGTTTTCACCGAAATCACATTTACACATTGTCTAAACAGTAATTAACTGTTTATGATACACTTTTGGCGAAAGATAGAAGAAAAAAGCGATAAAAGCAAAGGGAAAGAGAAAAAAATACAATGAAAAAATAATAATAGAATGATTTATTAATTGTAAATTTAAATTTTGATTGTAATTTAATAAGTTGCAAATTTTTTTTTTTTTGAAATGAAAATGTGGCGAGAAATGTTAATGATTATAGTTTGACGGCATTTGAAAGAAGATGGGATTTGTATTGTAACTAGCGCGTGAATCCTATGTACAAATCGAGGTAAGTGGAACAAGAGGGAAGAAGAAAGGCCAAGTAAGACCAATAAGAGTATTCACTAAGAAGGGCTAAGGTAATGCATATATATATCTATAATGTATATTTATATCTTACAGAACTTGACATAATTTTGCAATTTTCATAAAAAAGTCATCGAATTTGATTTGTAAAATTACTAACATATTTCACGAGAATGAGAATATGCGAAATGAATTTTGCGAAAAATTGATATCAATAGATTCTAATTTTCTATTCTATGATATTCTTTTTTGATAATTTTTACATTTTTCCATTTATTAAAATCTATAGAATAATATTTTTTTTATATTTTATTATATTTTTTAATATTTTATTTGAAAGAAAAAATTAAAATTCAGATCAGAAATATTTAAAAAATTAAATTATATTGTACTGTATATATTTTAAAATCTATTTGTACTAATGTACTTGTACTAATATTTTTGTATTCATAATTTTGAAAATTCAATGATAAATCGATTATGAATACAATGATATTCTTCGATATATTGAAGTATCGATCAATACTTCGAAGTCGAAGGAAACAATCGAAGAGAGACATAACCTCGATAACAAAATCAGTCATGCCTTGTAGAGAGTAACGAATATATCAACTTGGAACGATTGAATAGAAAA